AGCAGAGAGCTATAACTCGACTTGCTCCCATGTGTATGCTAACACAAGGCAGTACATTTGTTTATTGTTACACAGGTTGATTCTTGAGGATATGAAATGAAGCTTATTGTTCATAAATGGTAATTCATCCTTCGCGTCTGTCATGTAAGACACCGCCGAAGAGAAATCATCCTTCTCTGAAGATTTCAAATGACATTTTCAGTGTCGATGGATAGTACTTGTGTAAGAGAAATGTTTGCAAAGTGAGGAAAAGATAATAAAAATGACTTCTGGTTTTACATTTGTAACTCTTAGAGCTGACTACATTCACATAACCAGTGTCATTTGCTTTGCCAAAATAAATAATGCCAGTGACAAACCCCACGCAGAAACTATAATGCAGAGGGTAGGCATATTCATGTTCCTGCAAAGCAGAGAAAGCGTGTCATATTTGACAAAAACATTCAAAACAAAGGGTTGATTTCTTACCTGTTTTCACCCCATAGAAAAGGTAGATGAACACGACACACAGCCCCAACATATGGACTTCCACATGGAACTTCTACAGGTAAAAGATTTTAAGGATCCCACAGTTTCTTTGGCATGGGTCTGCTGTCTCTGACAACAGTTTGCTCTCTTTTTTTTCCTGCCAGTTGCTGTAGGTGTGGTGAAAGGAGGAAGTTACCAGCCAAGAAATGAAGACCAGTCTTCATACAACTAAAGCTTCTTCTTAAAAAGGTGGGGCACCTTCTATTCTACCAGATTTCCGTATTTTAAATATAGTTTGCCCTGGGGAATGACTAATCAAAGACACCAATGGTTTGGTATCACGCTGTAAGCAGCAATTTGACTACGCATGTTGAAACTAAGGAAATTATTGCCTGTCTGTTTGTCTCTTGCAAAGAATGTCAAAAGGCAGCAAAGAACGTAGGTGTCCCTGCAAGTCTGATAAGCATCTGGGCAGGGCCAGCACCTGGTTTCACTGGGCCCTACCTTAGTGTTCGTGATGATCCTGACTCCCCCAAGTCTCTTCAGCTCTCCTGAGCACCGGGGCCCTACGAGACCCTGTCGTCCCAGGCACGAGGAGGAGGCACAGCACTATGTCGTGACAAAGGGAAGGTACCAGCTCACGTCAGTCTGGGTCTCCATCAGGCTGCCAATTGGATGACACCCATACGTCTGGCATCCCCACCACACTTCATTGCATCCCTGCTGGAACCTCATGAATCCAGCTCTAATTCAAGTAAGAAAGGCTTGCCTTTTTTTATTTTATTTTTTTTTTTTTCTGCTGGATGGGAGGAAGACGATGGCAGATGCAAAGACAACTGTCAGGGGCAGGAAAGGAAGTCTGAAACTGAAGCTGGAACATCTAGTGGCAAAATTGAAAAGATGAGGGTGGTGGGGAGCGTGTAAAGGTGTGAGAGAGGGGAGGGGAAGAGAGAACAGGGATGGCTGCTGAGTAGAAGCTGTGTGGTAGCTTTGCCTAATGTTTTCTTAGCAAATTCTCCTAAGGTAGGCCAGGGAAAGGGAACATGGGGAGGATCAGAAGCACCTCATTAAGCACAGGCTGTGTTTTTTCCCCCTGGTGATGATCCAGTGAGGAGCTGAACTATTGCGGATCCTAGCTGCAGAGCTGTTTCTTTGGTCTATGCTGTACACACTAAGCTTTTTGACTTTGCTAATGCTTGGGTTAATCCTTGACTCTGCCTGCTGGCTGTCTGCAGCTCCTTCTTGTTCAGACAAGCGTGTGCTGCTTGTCGGGTGCAGGCACGGCTTACACCTCAGCCAAGGTGTTGCCCAAGCAACACACGATTTTTTTCACAAGCACCTTGAGCTCCCCATCCTCAGGCAGCTCAGCAATCGCAGTCTAACAGGATGCGTGCCGTGCTGGGATTCCACTTGGTAATCACACAGGCAAAAGTTGTTTTTTGTAATTTTGAAGAGGATAAACATTGAGAAAAGACACCAATGTGGAGTCTGGAAGCTGCAAGTTCCAGGAAAGTGCTTTTTTTTTTTTTTTTGATGCACTGGCAAAAGAAAATCAGTTGAAACATTGTTTTTGTTCCAGTTCCTTTCTCACCTCTACCAGTAATCCTAAACTCTGTCAAAATATTTTCTCCTTACCAAGTTCTGCCTATGGTGCGAGGGAATTGGTCCAACAGTGAGACATGCAAGATGAACAGAAGGCTTTTACCTATTGCAAAAGATGTTTGAGAATCAGAGATAAAACGAGATAAAGAAATCAAGAGGGCCTTGCCTTTCTTCTGAGCATACTGCCTGAAGCTAAGCCCCGCTTGCTTCTTTCCCTCATTGCTTTCCTCAACTTTCTGTTTCCCATCGGAGACAGCTCATCCCAGTGGCTATCAGTTCAACAGGTGCTACACTGGGACTGGTGGGCTCTTCCTTGTAACTCTCAACTGTCTCTCAGAAGACAATGATTTTGAGTAACCACCATTTTAGCATAAATTAGACTGTCTGTTTACAGTACCTGTATTGGCAAACACACCCAGGATGTCAGCACTGGAAATGCTGTCTGCTGCCACCACCCAATCCTGAGATGAGGAGTCCAAATAACCACCTGTGTTTACAGATTAATTCCAGCTCTTGAATCCTGTGGACCAGTCTTTCACAGCTGTCCCACACAACCTTCCTCAGCCACACACCAAAGGTGGTAACAACTGACTTAGTTATTTGGGTTTTGTACGCTGATGCCACACACCAAAGGTGGTAACAACTGACTTACAGTTATTTGGGTTTTGTACGCTGAACCCTAACCACAGAACACACAGGAATACTTCTTGGGACATAAGCCTTCGGAGTCACAAATGATCCCATCGTGAGCTTTGAAATCAATGACAACGTGAGACAGTAAAAACTAATTCTTTTATCATATGTAGAAAACATTTAAGATCAGAACCGGTGCCAACTTAAGAACAATTTAACAGGAGATATGAAATAATTTTACATAAGAGGAACATTCTGATATGAGCTCTGAGGTGTCAGATAGCTGTTGTTATTTTGCACTCATTATAGAAGCATTTTAAACTCTGATCACTGTGAGTAGAACCATTGTTTGAATCCGAGCCTTTTTCAGAAATGTTTCCTCCTTAGGGAAGCTTATGACAGTGATGGTCAGCTGAAAAACATTATTTTATATTGCAATCATGCATCCACTGCATGAAATTTCACTGATTCACTAGTTTCCTGTGGGTGGAACGTTTTCATGGAGATACTGGAGAGCCAAATCTGTCCACTTCATTTCTTGCTCTTTCACAGACTCAGTTGTGCCACCATTGTCTTGCTCTGGTTCAGGAAGCTCATTCTGAGAAGAAAACAGAAGTACAATGCATTCCACACATAATATGCTTCCTGAAAGGAGCAGGTTACTAAGACTTCATCTGGATAAATACAAAAATCTACAAATGAGACCGGAGGGTGCATCTGAACAATACATATCATGCATACTGATCCACTTAAAAATATTCCTAAGCCCAGTTCTGAACAACATTCTTTTCACCAGAATCTGGTGCTTAATCTGAAAGGTAAATTGGTTTTCCAGGACCCTGGGGCCTTGCTACACACTCAGACTGCACATGCAGTGAAGGAGGAGAATATATAGCATATGCAAAATAAGAAAATAATAGCAACATGCAATTATTCCATTGTTTGCTTGCAACGTGTTTCTTTTGCTGTTGCCAAGAACACAGATACTGCATTTATTATAGCTGTTCTTAAGACAACTGGTTCAGTAACAAGTTACTTTCCTATGGCAGGTGAGAAACCCTCCCTTTTTCTACGTGCTGAACTCAGGTGTGGCTGGGCTGTATCAACAGTGATGTCAGAAACCCCTGCCAGCTGCAGCACAGAGCTGCTCGTGACACAGTAAGGAGGAAGTATGGTTTAACTGAGACTTCATCTTCCTTTCTTATGTTATTTGTTCCCTGTGTTGCTGTATTGGTGCAGTCACACAGAGTAAAGTGTGTGTTATTCTGCCAGATACCATTTGGGCAAGAATTCTGAGTTCTAGATCTCTGGAAATCCCAGCACGAGCGAAATAAAATTGTTCAGTTTTGAAAACAGCATACGATTCAAGCCCATTTGAGTTCACAGGAATCTCTCCAGTGAGCACTGGATCAGATGCTCAGGACAGGCTCAAATACCACTTTACAGCCATTCTGTCTGCTCCTGTACAACGCCACTGAGTAAGCCTCCCATGAATTTGTGCTGGTTTTCCTGTGTGATCAGAGCCAATCCTATCCCTGGGGATCATTATATCCACAGCCAGGCCTTTCTTTCTATTGTTAGTTGATGAGGCTTCCTGCTCTGAGGCTGCCATCTGTATGGACTGTAAGCAGCTCAAGAGATGGCTGTAAGGAAATAAACAGTAATGTTTCTTGACTTGGACACAGGGTAAAGGCAAATGTCAGCACGGAACTAGATTATAATATTCAGCCTGCCTAATAAAGGTTATCCCAAGCAAAGGGGAGCTTGGGCTCTTGTACATGAGAATCACAGTTCTGCAAGATCGTGCCCTCAAGCCCAAATCTCGGCAGGAAAACTTGTGTGCCATGTTTTTGGATTGTGGAGGTCTGCAGCTGCTCCTTGCCCCCTCTGAAAAGACAGTGGTGCAAGGGCTAAAGCTTGAGCCGTGTCACGGCCAATTTGGAAATGTCTCTGTGCTAAAAGAAACTAGGAGCCTATCAGTCCCCATGGTTTCAGCATGACTGCTTTGTCAGTGCTGGCCAGGGGAAAGCTGGTGCACCGGGCAGAACAAGGAAGGGGAGAATCCTCAGACACCTCTCACTTCCCTGGTACTTTCCAAACAGCTAAGGAAGGCGTCAGAGTGGGACATCTGAAGCTTCAGCTCTGGGCTTTGTAGGATCCGAGGTAGCTTTTTCCCAGCTGCACCTCTCTGGCCCCATAGCCGTAGAACAAGCTGTACGCTGGTGAAAAGACAGCTGCCATGCGTTGGATGCAGCGCTGCAAGCAAGAGTCCTGCTGCAGATGCCAGTTTGTTCACTATTCTCTATGAACTGGCAGCAGCAACAGTGTATTTGGAAAAGACTGATTAGGAAGACGTCTGAAAAACTCTCAGCTTTTAATGGAATTTCAGAAAGTGAAAATAAAGTGTAGTCTAGACTGCAACTGTCAGGATGAGACTGATCCTCTCTGTTCTACAAACCAGCTGGGAAACCACTTCAACCACTGGTAATGTGAAAGGAAAGGATGGTTCTACTTCTCCCTGATGCCAAACCCAGAAGTGTGCGATGGGAAGGGCACTCCCCTTCTGAGGAGATACAGCAACTGACCAGGGGAAGGTGTAGAGAAACATCCACATCCTCATACGCACACAGGGATCTCTGGCATGTAGGGCAGAAAAAGAGTGAGTCGGATGCATCCCGGGAACCTTTTGTACAAATTAGCTGCACCACAAGCAATCCTGTCTGTGCTGTTCCTTGGAAGGGGCTGTGATAAACACACCAGCCTTAACTCAGACTGATAAGTAGCAATTCACCTACCAGAGGGATGGCCACATCCTCGTACGGCAATTTGTCTTCCCTCCATGCATCATCGATTAAATCCAGGATTCTGCCATCCCTTTGCACTTCGCTGTCCATCACCGTGGAATGTGACTGCAGCTAAACCTGTGGCACAAAGCAGATACCGTTTCAAACACCCACATCCTCAGCCAAGCAGCTGGAGCTCAGACTATGGGCTTGCTCTGGTTTTTATCCAATTTCTGTTAAGCTTTAGCTTCTACAGAAAACCTTGGGTTTTTCCTGCTCCCTTCAAAAAGGGGTCAGAACCACAAGAGAACTGCTTCATCTGAAAAGAACGCTACCAAACTGAATTGCAGGTTGATGAATAAATAAAACTAGCCTGTTATTACTAATTATATTTACCTGTGCTTATAGCTACCGACCTTTGGAAAT